TTAGTTATTTAGCTTAGAAAGAATTTCTTTTATTTTTGTTATTATTGGCAGTAATCAGATAAAGCTGTTTTTTTATCTTATTCACCTGATATCTTACTCTTGCTCAAAGATTATTTTGAAAATGTTGATTAAATAAAATTGTATTATTGCATTTCCAGTCCTTTTGTTTTCTATTTTTTATTCTATTTTATCATTTTGTTTCAGAGTTGTGATTTTTAAGGAAATTAAATAATAATTTTCTAAAATATAACATGCACATACTTTTTTTGATCATTGTATTGTTGATTATCATTCACGTCACATCGCTTCGGAATAGAAACCAGCTTAATTTACACTATGTTGTGTATTGTGCTTAAATTATGGATTGTATTCATCATTTCGGTCCATATAAATAATTATATGGCACCTACCTATATATCGCAGTACTGCGAGTTGACAACCCTTACAAATATCCCAATTTAACCCTTAACCGTGTCAATTTACCCCGGACGCTGGGTAAATTGGGACGGCCATTATTTTACCGATTATTTCTTTAAAATGAATAATTAAAATTATGTAACGGTTTTTATCACCTAGGTACGTTCAAGACTCAACTTATTTCTTTGGTTGAGCAGTGACTATTTAATTGGAACTATTTTAAAATTCAATCTGAAGGTCGATTTTGTCCCTATTTACCCCATTGTACGGTATGCATGCGTGTGTGCCTCAAATACATGGTATGTAGTGTGTGTAATGTTTTCTTTATTGATTTAATGTATTATATACGCATTATTTTAAAAAAATATTATCATTGTGCACTTCTTCTCTATATTCTCTATTAGTATGGAATATTTCATACTGCTGCGTTCGCGCAATTTTCGTAAAAAGGGGTTTTTGCTTCATGTATTAATGTATAGATTAGGAGAGAGATTAGGAGAGATTAGGAGTATGAAATTTCCCACACTTATAAAGAATATAGAGAAATGCCGAATGCTAATTTTTTTTTTTAATTATGCTTAAAAATATATTAAATCAATAAAAAAAACATAACACATACTACCATGTATTTGACGCACACACGCATGCATACTATTTATTTATTGTCATACTTTTCTTCTTGACCTCTGTGGTCAAATTGAGAATAGATTAAATATTGTTTGTCTTTATTCATATTTTTCTATAGTGTAGTCTTGGCGAAATTTGTGTTTATAGAAGTATAAAAGTCTTTAACAATAGAATCATAATAGTGTACAAACTTATATTTCATTTAATTATAGTCGAATTTCGATTACCAGGGCATCACTAGTTTAATTAATTCTAGAACGACATAAACTTTCTTTTTTATCAATAAATAAAATTATCGTTCGACTAGTTCACACGAAACAGATATAATATGTCAAAAGGTCACTAACCTCCGCAAGTCTCCCGGAAGTCCGGGCAACAATCTCCCAATTTCAAGCAAGCGTGGTCACAGTAACAGGGCTTGTCGGTTAGGTCCTCAATAATGGCGTTCTGGTGCGCCTTCTGAACGACGCAGGAACTATCCCTCCCCGGGCAGCACAGGTTCGCGTCCCGGCAATAGTTCGCATCGCAATAGCCCGCGAAAATGAACAAGCTTAGACAAAGAAAATGGCGGTGCATTTTGAATAAGGAATTCTTTGTCAAACGATATAAAGTAAGCAAACCTCTTTAATATGTATATTATTTTTTTTCTAAATAGAAATATTATTAAAAGTTTGGACAAATTATTTTTAAAATTGACACCGCTTATATAAGTGACCGAAAAATTGAGAATGATAGATTATAAATTTTGTATGGAAACGGGTGCCTTCGATTGGTCTTAGATCTGAAACAAAAAGAAACGTAAAAACTTAGATTATTCCATATTAGTATTTCTAAGCACTCGGAAAACACGTAATCTATTGGAAAATTTGGCAAAAATGCCAAAACAGGATTCCCGTTTATGCCTCCTGTGAGGTTTGAACTCACGACCCCTGGTTTACGAGACCAGTGCTCTACCACTGAGCTAAAGAGGCTCGCGTAAGGACAACCGAAATTTACGTACGGTTACTTAAATATCTAAATTAACCTAAAATATTTTGTTTTGTTACGAGAAATTATACCTAAAACGTATATATAAAATACAAACTTATTACTGTGATAAAATACAATAAAAAAAAAAAAAACAAAAAATATATCAGCCGCGTGGAATGCAATAATTCACTGTTATGTATTCTATTTTAATTCAGTAATTAACTTAAGCCTGTTTCTAACTTATTTTATTTTCTATGGATACATAGGAAACTTCTGGCGGCTCATAGCACCTCGAAGCATGTTAAACTATAAAAACCATTAAAAGATTTTATTGATAAGTGGAATTTAACTAGTTTTCCTGCCTGAAATCCACTGTCAACTGTTTTTGATTGTACGCGGTAAAATAAATACTATTCGTTTCATTACGAAAATCTAAATGATATTTCAAACTCTTTAGTAATTTACTTAAAAATAAAATACAGATCATGCACGGCCTACTAGATTATAATTTTGCTGAGTGTATATTTATTTTTGAGAATAGAACGCAATGAATAATTTTATTATTTTTTGGACGACCCTTATTCCACATTGTGGAGTGACGTCCATATAAATAACGCTCGAAAAACTAATCGTGGGCTTAGCACAGGTGTATTAGTGAGAAAGTAATGTTATTAAATATTTATAGTTTTACGAATGATCACGACGCACAACACAGTTCCAAGACGACAATCAACTCAATAATACGACAGAGCAGAGTCCGCTTCAAGCCGACCGAAATTCTCGCCGGATCCTCTCAGTGGATCGCGATTCTGATCCGGTAGTAGATTCAGCGAAGCACTGCTCTTGCTAGGGCTAGTGTTAGCAATTCTCTCAGGTTGAGCCCGTGAGCTCACCTACGCGTCTGGGCGTAGCTGAAATAGCCTTTTAGGCTACCAGCAAATAGGTAGAGAAAATAAAATCGTATTATGTCGGTTCAAGAGCTTTTCGCCTGTAGTATACTACTAGCGTTACACTTACTTCCATCTAATCTAGGAAGCAGAAACGAGCATAAATCAATAATACAATTTTAGTTTTATATTTTACCGGTGGTAGGACCTCTTGTGAGTCCGCACAGGTAGGTACCACCGCCCTGCCTATTTCTGCCGTGAAGCAGTAATGCGTTTCGGTTGTTGGGGTGGGGCAGCCGTTGTAACTATACTCAGATCTTAGAACTTATATCGTTATTTACGTTGTAGATGTCCATGGGCTCCAGTAACCACTTAACATAGGTGGGCTGTGAGCTCGTCCATCCATCTAAGCAATAAAAAAAAATGTGGGTGCTTTTTCACCTACTGGCCCGGTTTCGCTGGCATAACTCTGGGTTACCAGTATAGGTAGGAAAAAAAAGGTACATTTAAACAATACGTGTATAATAGAAAGTAAACATCTCCTATATATTCGAGCAAGAAAATGTATATATTTCCGTTAACTTGACAAACATACATGGCTGTTTCCAGTTTCATTCTCCATCATAAAACAAAGCTACCAACGATTAGACAGGGGAAAAAAATTCGCTCCTAGCGACTTTTTTATTTTATTTTACCCCATCTAGAACACTGTAGGTTTACCAAGTTTACTTTTTTTTTTTTTTTTTTATTACCCTTGTAGGCAGACGAGCATACGGCCCACCTGATGGTGAGTGGTTACCGTCGCCCATGATGGACTTCAGCAATGCCAGGGGCAGAGCCAAGCCGCTGCCTACCGCTTAACACTCTTTGTATACCAAGTTTATATCTCGAGAATTTTTTAATCATGACCCTGATAATGCAGCTAATTTATGTAACTCCCGCAACTGAGACAAATCTAACGACAACGAAATAATATGTTAAAATCCATCAAAAGTTAGTCGTGTAAAGACATCAATACAAACAGCAACCGAAAATCTCTTTTAACGTTATTTGCGGAGACCGAATTTACACAAAATTTACAGACGAATTATCTTAATACATTCAGGAAGTGTAAAAGTTAAAAACATGATCGCTTAATGAAGTATAAAGTACTTCGAGACAGCTTCGTGTTCGCGGTTCAGCATTAAGTTTCCTTAAAGATTTGAATACCCTTCGTCAGGTGTGGTTATGGTACAAGTAATATAAAAAAAGCGAAAACATACAAGCTTGAGGTACCTTTTTGAAGTGAAACTTCTTTAGGCGCATGAGGGTAAAATTTTTACAGAACGTCACGCAGGTATGCAACGGAAGTGACATCAAACTACTATTGAAATTAAGTACTTGTCAAATGTAGTAGTAGTTGTTGTATTTTTCCAACTGGAAAGGCAAATGAATCATACCATACAGCCTAATATTTTATATTTTTTTTTGTGAAAAATGTTAATATGAATTTTATTAGCATGAAATTAAATTAGTCAATTCAATTGGCATAATATTAGTCATTTACAATTTAGAAATCTAAACATAATGTGACGGTGAACACTGAGGTTTGAGATTGACATTTGACAGACTTTTGGCGGGAACATATCTTCCTTTTTCCCTTCCTCTAAGTCTCGGAAATCTAAAGTTTTAAATTTTGTATAAATATAAGCAAGACTTATAAATAAGTTCGCCAAAAAAGTTTCACTTCTGACATGTGTACTTTGTACGCACGCACTTTTTTTATTTCATTGTATAGATAGGTGGACGAGCTCAGAGCCCACCTGGTAGTTACCGAAGCCCATAGACATCTACAACGTAAGTGTAACCACCCGCCTTGATATATGAGTTCTAAGGTCTCAGTATAGTTAGAACGGCTGCCCCACCCTTCAAACCGAAACAGCTACGAAACGGAAATCAGCAGGGTGGTGGTACCTACCCGTGCGGACTCACAAGAGGTCCTACCACCAGTGATTACGCAAATTACAATTTTGCGGTTTTGATTTTTGCTATGCACGATGCTATTCCTTCACCGTGGAAGTCAATCGTGAACCTTGAATTGATTGAGTAAATTTTGAACTTGATTGAGTGTAATCGAGAAAGTATCGATAACGTTTTTAAATCGATTAAATTACATAATAAGTTCTAGTGTGATATTTGAGTCGACTATTATCAAAGCCGGCAATCTGACTTTTGGACAATGATTGGTAAATCAGAAAAACGAATTATTGACTTTGTATTCCATTGGCAGTCACAAAACTTTTCGGAACGACATCTTAGATAAATAACAGGTTAACTATTAACCTTTATTTAATGCAGGTTTTGAACCGTATTCTTTGAAGGAGACGATTATATTCAAATCAATCTGTATTGACATATCAATAAATTTTTTTTGTCCAAATGCACAGATTGCCACCTTTGATAATAGACGACTCATTTGTTGTCCACGGCAAAGCCATTTTTCGAATGGAAGCCAGTTGTATAATCGTAGTAAAGTTGAGTTTTATGGTTCTATAAAACAAAATACCTCACCGATGATATTGTAATGTCTTCCGGATGACAAGCTACAAGTAATTCTTTAGGTAGGCAGATTTTGAGATGGCAATATTATTGATTGGGAAGTGGCATTTATGAAATAGCACGGTTAGCATTAGTACCTAGCAAAGACCCGATAGCGAATAGTTCCGATTAACTTAACTTGCTTAAGCCACAAATACTTGTATAATAATGACCGGATCGAATGAAAAAATGCTATTCTAATGTTTCCTTGCACTTGTTCTAATTATTTAAAGGTGTTTCTTTTAGTTCTTAAACTATATTTATTGCATACTAGATGACCGGCGGACGTAGTGCCTCAATCGATAAATAAAAGACCTAAACTTTTGTATAAAATAAACTTAAAATAAACAAAACGTATCCGTCCGATGTGGGATTTTTATTTAATTCCGAGTATTTTCATATTTATCTACTTTTTAAACCCTCTCTGGACTTCCACAAATAATTCAAGACCAAAATTAGCCAAATCGGTCAAGCCGTTCTCGAGTTTTAGCGAGACTAACGAACAGCAATTCATTTTTATATATACTTAGTCTGGCCATAAATATCGTTACAATTAAAAATAAACGTAATATTTTGTTTATTTGAATTGGGAATCTTTCATTTTTATATGATTGCTCATTGAGTTTTCTCATTTTGGCGCCAATACATTGTACAATATTTTGCGATATTAAAATGGAGTGGGGTGTTAAAGAGAACCGAATCGCTGTGATTGCATTACACAAAGTAGGTATGGAGCCAAATGCAATTTTTTAAACTCTCCATACGCTTGGTTTAAGTAAAATTATTGTGTACCGGGCTATTAATAGGTGCAGTGAGACCTCCTCTGTTTGTGACAGAAAAAGATCTGGCCGTCCACGTAGTGTTCGTACGAAAAAGGTGGTCAAAGCAGTAAGGGAAAGAATTCGAAGAAATCCTGTCCGAAAGCAAAAGATTTTATCTCGGAAGATGAAGATAGCACCTAGAACCATGTCGCGTATTTCGCGCTGAAAATTCGTTTGTGAATTAGACCACGCAAAAACAAAGAAAACTTCCTAATGTTCTGGATTAATAATTCTGAAGCGGGCTCCCTTCCAAACCATACCATCATTATATAAAGTTATGCTCAACATATCCTCTGTTTTTGTAACTACCTTCAAATCGTTTTATATAATCTCTAACGATCGAGGCTTAA